CCATCCTCTTAGCCACTCTGCTGCTCTCAGAATATTGAATGAAGGCAGGCTAACTACCTCCTAGACTGCCAAAGAATTCTTTCTGCCATCTGGAGCTGCCCAGGGAGGCCTCTTCCTACCTGGTGTCCTATAACCTTGGTCTCATTATCATCTGCAGCACTCTGTCTTCAGTGAAGGCATCCCATCTCCAGTCTGCCTCTAGCAGGCTTCCTCTGGCAGCCTGTGCTCAGCACACAAGGCCACGGCCTCCTTAGCCTTGACTGTGCTCTGTCATCTGCATCCCCATGTCCTCTCCTCCTCCAGCACTCATTATGGCTAATGTACATGGTTTATATTTATTTGGTCATTTTCTCACAGTGGCCCCAAGTGTGTCTTACTTGAGGTTGCTATTGCTGTGATGAAACATCATGACCAAAGCAACCTGGAGAAGAAAGGGTTCATTTGGCTTAGACTTTTGAATCATAATTCATCATTAAAGAAGGTCAGAATAGGAACTGAAGCAGGATAGAAACCTGGAGGCAAGAGCTGATTCAGAAGCCACAGAGGAATGCAGCTTCCTGGCTTGCTCCTCACGGCTTGTTCAGTCTGCTTTCTTCTATTATAGAACTCAGGACCACCAGCCCAGGGGTGGCCCCACCCCACTAATTAAAAGAAATGTCCTTCAGGCTTGGCTACAGCCTGGTCGTCTTCTTTTTTTTTTTTTTTTTTTTTAAGTAGTTTTTCTTTTCTTTAAGATTTATTTATTTATTTATTTTTATAGTATTCTGCCTGCATGTACACCTGAATGCCAGAAGAGGACACCAGATTTCATTATAGATGGTTGGGAGCCACCATGTGGTTGCTGGGAATTGAACTCTGGAAGAGCAGACAGTGCTCTGAACCTCTGAGCCATCTCTCCAGCCCTGGTCTTATTTTCTCATTTGAGGTTCCCTCCTTTCTGATGACTGTAGTTTCTGTCAAGTTGACATAAAACTACCAGTACATAGCCGTCAGTATCTAATACTTGTTACTTATAAAATCTCAGGATAGAATATGTGACAGTGACTCCTGAAGGATTCCGGTACCGGGGCCAGATCTTCCCAACTGTGAATGGACTCTTCAGGTGGTTTAAGGATCACTATCAGGATCCTGTACCAGGTAAGCTGTGCTGTTCCCTGACTTTAATCTGTGCTGAGGACACAGGTCCTGTCTTAGTAGGTGACGTTGGTAATCATCTTAGCTGCCTCACCGCTGGTCCAGCCTCTTAGCAGTAGGGAGGTTCTCCATCCACTGGCCTGTGCAACTTCTCCCCCCTCTTTTTCGTCTTCAGACTCTTGAACTAGGAAGCCAAAAGTAATTTTCTTGAGAAACATAACTGACTGCGTTTATTTCTTACAGGTATCACTCCCAGTAGCAGCAGCAGGACACGAACCCCTGCTTCTATCAATGCTACTCCAGCTAACATCAATCTTGCAGGTAGTGTGCTTGGGGCTGAGACTTTTTAGGGCAGCAGGGAACTAAAGAGATTCAAACCACTGACATTGACATCTGTGTTAACAGATCTGACACGAGCTGTGAATGCCTTGCCTCAGAACATGACTTCGCAGATGTTCAGTGCCATTGCTGCTGTAACAGGCCAAGGACAGAACCCAAATGCTACCCCAGCCCAGTGGGCATCCAGCCAGTATGGCTACGGTGGCAGTGGAGGAGGCAGCAGCGCCTACCATGTATGTGTTTTCAGAAGGAGAGGGAGCACCTCTATACAGACCCAGATCCTACAGATACCTCTGGCCATGCCCATCACCAGGAGCATCATATGCTTGAGCCTAGGAACCATCTGTATCAGATGTTCCTTAATCACCAGCACATTTGACAGGGGAGGGAATAAGAAAGGGCCTGGCATCCAGGTGGTGGCTCTTTAATCCCAGCACTTGGGAGGCAGAGTCAAGCAGATCTCTTGAGTTTGAGGCCAGCCTGGGCTATAGAGTGAGTTCCAGAACAGCCAGGGCTACACAGAGAAAACTGTCTCGAAAAACCAAAAAAGGTGGAGGTTGGGGGACAGCCTTTACACAGAGCCCTGTGGGATATTTGGAACCCTCAAGCCACGTAGGGTGTTGAAGATTGGTGGGTAACTGTATGCTAGTGCTATATTCCCTAGTTCCCTCTACTGTACATACTGCTTCCAGGTGTGTCAGCTGGAAAGAGCTGTTCAGAGTCAGCTCTCACGGCTTAGCAGAGGCTCACAGTGAAGGGAAGCACATCCACAACATAACCTGTTTCTCTGTTCGCCCCTCTTCAGGTGTTCCCAACACCAGCCCAGCAGCCAGTGGCCACACCACTAATGACCCCCAGCTACTCCTACACAACCCCGAGCCAGCCCATTACCACCCCACAGTACCACCAGCTCCAGGCCAGCACTACCCCACAGTCTACCCAGGCCCAGCCCCAGCCTTCCTCCAGCTCCCGACAGCGGCAACAGCAGCCAAAGTAAGTACATGGCTAGTGGCATAGCACAGGCAGGTTACTGGTAGGAGCAGGTAGTCTGTATAATGTTCCCGTGGGCATTGGCTTCTGGGGAAGAATGAAAGAGTGACAGGAGGGCTGTTTCCTTTCTGTGAGGATGATCTCTCACCAGTAACTGCTGGGAAGGCTTCCTTCTCCCAAATCCCAGAAGAATCCTCGTCTCTAAGGCTCTTCCTTTCTGTTCTAGGTCCAACAGCCATGCAGCCATCGATTGGGGCAAAATGGCTGAGCAGTGGCTACAGGAGAAAGAGGCAGAACGACGGAAACAGAAACAGCGGCTGACCCCTCGACCTTCTCCCAGCCCCATGATTGAAAGCACCCCCATGTCCATTGCTGGCGATGCGACCCCACTCCTGGATGAGATGGATCGGTAGGGGCCCTGTTCATCGGACTCTGGTTACCTGAGGCTCCGAGAGGCCTGGCCACCCACAGCCTCACTCCCTGCCCCTCTTTTTTTGTCCATAAAGTGGCGTGAAATGACATTCTCTTTAGTGGTCAGCCTGGATGGGTGGCAGGATGGATGGCCTTGTGAGCTGGTGTGTTCAAGCAGCAGTTCTCCCGCTCCAGATCTGTGCCAGCCACCTCTCCTGGGAGCAGGCTTGGAGAGGAATGTAGCAGAAGGGAGGAGAATGGAAGCGGAGCAGTCTGTAACCTTCCTGTCGCCATTTTGAGTTTCTGCCCTCACCTGACAGGCTGTAATGAGGCATGAAGTTCATCTGTACATGTCCCCAGCCCTTGTGGGGAGACCAATGCTATTTATTCAGTTTGAGGCAGGAGGGAGAGGAGGGAAAGTGTTTCTGGCCTGACCTCAATAGCTTGGTGGCTGTCAAAGCAGGACTGTGGGGGACATAAGGAGCAGTGCTGACCTGCCTACCCTAGCCTGCCTACCCTCATCCACCTGTTGCCACCTGGTTCCCGCCTGTCATTTGAATAAACAGTGTTTCTACAGAGCACTTGCCAAGGCCTCTCTCCAGCTCCATGCTCTGAGTCTGGAACTCCAAAAACTTCCTCTCATTATCCACCAGAGAGGCCAGGATTCAGATTGCCTGGGCTCACCTCCCTGCCTGCTCTTAGCCCCATGACCCTGTGTTGGCTTCTTACATCTTTTGTTGGCTGTGTTGCAGTGGAATCTTTAGCCCAGGCTAGCCTTGGACTTAACATCAGTCCTGCTTCTGCCTCCTGAATGCTGGGATTAGAGAAATGACACATACCTGCACTTAAGGGTTTTATTGGGTGTCTCCGTAACCCTGGAGTTCCAGTGTCCTGGAACTCACTCTACAGACCAGGCTGGCCTGGAACTCAGATCTGCCTGCCTCTACCTCCCTAGTGCTGGGATTAAAGGCGTGTGCCACCACCCCTGGGCTTGTTTTTAATTATGTAAGTGCATGTGTGGATGTGTGCACAGAAGACCAAAAGAGGGCTTCGACCCCTTGAAACTGGAATGATAAAAGTGGCTATGAGCCCCTGAAGATGAGTTTGGGAACTCAGGTATTTTACAAGAGCAGTAAGTGCTCTTAACTGCTGGGCCATCTGTCCAGCAGCGTCTTTTATCTTTTGGCTGCCCTGACTGAAAAAGAGACAGTAACACAGGCAAGACAATATGAAATCTTGAGCCAGGTCTGGACCAGGGCTTAGCAACCTTCAGCCACTAAACTCCATGTTGTTCTCATCTCCCCACACAGTGGAGAAAAGTAAATCTGGGAGCCACGGCAGACAACTTTGTTTCCCAGCTGAGTCTTGGTTTCTGACAACCTATAAGCAAGTCAGTTCCTGGCCCACAATGGGTCCCCTTCACCTCCTCACTCTCAGACATACAGGCCATGGGAAAGAGGCTGTTTCCCACCCCTTTTCCTTCCTGGCTTAGTATCAGCCAGCCTGCTGGCATCGGTTCCTTCCACAGCCTTTTTTATTCTGTATGTCTACCTGTCCTTCACACAGGCTTCATCTCACAGTGATTCAGTGTGGGAGAGTAAGCCTGTCCTTCTTTGTCTCTGCTTGGGTTGCTACTGCTGCCTCATTTGAGCTTGTACCTACTTTTCTTCATTCTTTGTATTGGTGGGAAAGGCCTGGCCTTCTACTGGACCTTCTCTTTATATTCTCCAGCATAACGGGTCTGCTGCAAGGGTGGAGAAAGACTGAGACTACACCCTCTGGGAAGACCATGTCCTCCATGGTGCCACAGCCCTTCCCTTGGGGCCACTTAGGATGGAGACGCAGGCGAGTGAGTGGCAGGTTCAGTTTAGTGTAGTAGCGCTGCATAGTGCTGCCCACCGCAGACTGGATTTGACAGCGCTGACCTCCCAGCCCTCCCCAGATGGGCTCTCCCAGCGGGTCCTCAGTGGTGTTCTCTCCCTACCTAACTTCCCATAGACATAGACTTCCCCCTTGAACGCAGGTGTGCCCTTTGAGAGTCCCTGCAGCCCCTTGGCTCTAGCAGGCCCAGAGCCACCTTCCCCCATAAAGAGGCCCTGCTGGAGAGAGAGACAGTAGCAGTAGCGGTCAGTTACAGGCTTGATTTATTTAACTCTGGTTGCCCAGGCCTCAACTGAGATTGGGGTTGAATGCTGGGGGAGATTTTCTCTTGGTTATTTTCCGTGTTTGTAAGGTCTTTGTCCCACTCTTTTTGGCAGTGCTCTTCTCTCTCTTCCTGGGCGATGATGATGCCTCTACAATCTCTTCACTGGAGGGCCCCTCTTTAACCCGATCATAACTGTCCTCGCTCCCCAGCTCTTCCCTGCTTTCAGGGCTGGATTCTGATGTCCTGGCTAGATCTCTTGGGCTCAGTGATGTGCTCAGGTCTGGAGGGGAAGACTCTGACTTCACTGGGCATTTCTTCTTAATTAACTTGCCCTTCTTGGTTTTTTTCTTCACCTCTACCTTCTCATCCACCATCTCATCCTCCTTGTCCTTCTCTTTCTTTTTTTCTTTTTCTTTCTCTTTCTCCTTTTTCTTTATCTTCTGGATGACCTTGCTCTCATGACACTTTGTGGGGCTCTCAGAACGCCAGATGGTGATGGGCGCTGCTGAGTCGGGGACCCCAGAGACTGACCCGGTGTCTTGGTTAGGAGGTGTGGCTACAGACCTGATGTCTGGGTTAGTAGGTACAGGACACAGCTGAGTTGGGGTGGGAAGCAGGGTCTCTTCATAATCCTCATCCTCATTTAGGTCATTTGCTCTACAGTCAGGGTAGATGGGATGGTGGATTACTGCCACAGAGATGGGCTTGTAGCTTTCGCACCTGGGAAGAAGGGACAGGAGGAAATGGATGGAGCTGAAGCAGGGTACCCTGGAGTTCATCCCCATTTGCCAGCCGACACTCACCAGCTGTACCAGATCCGGTCCACACACTCCTCCTCCTCTGGGATGAGTTCAAAGCAAGGGGCATGGATGATGTTGAAGCAGTTTGAGCCCTCATCTCTGGAGCAGGTCGGGCCTACATCTCGGGAGCTGCCATTTTTTGTCTTCTCTGAGCAGTCCTTCAGCCTGCCACACACCAGACTCTCAGCTTGGCTCCCATACCTCCATGACTCCCCAGGGGCCCAGAGGGACAGCCAGGTGCTTCTGGGCTTGGCCCAGGCTGCCAAGAGATCTCCCCATTCCTTGTTCTTGGAGCAGAGCAGGGATTAAAAGCTGGGGCTAGGCTGGCAGCACCAGGCCAGAGATGAAGAGGGAAACCTGAAGGGAATGGGTCCCCATGAAGGGGGCCCTCACCTAAATTCACAGTCGCAGGGGCTGATGGTGTGTATCTGCCGGTTGTGATGGCCACAGTCCGAGAAGGGGTGGATGATGTGCCCCGCACACTGCTGGTGTTTCCAGCAACATCTGTCACCTGAAGAAAGAGGGGTCTGGGTCATTTGGAGGCAGCGGAGCCTCAGGCTGAAAGCTTCACCAGATTCCTATCACCGACTGTCATCAGAGGTGATGACAGGCCAGTGAGTAGTCACTTCATAGCCCTGCCCTGCCCTGCCCTGCCCTGGCCCCTTTCCCACTACAGGATGCTGTCTTGGACTCTTAGAGAAAAATAATGCCACATGTGAGGTGTAGAAGATCTTCTCAAGCTATTCTCCTAATACTTGTCACTTCTGCTTTCCTGTGGGGTCCTCTGCCCCGAGCCCTCCACCAACCACTGCTCTCGTCAGCTGCTGGTAGTTAACCAGCCACCACACTCCACAGTGTGCCTGGTAGGAAATGGCCATGGCCCACCTGTCTAGCAGACAAGCCCACAACCATGGCCTCAGTTCTGGCACCTGCACAGGCCCAGGAGGCCTCACTGCATAACCTCCGCTGTACTCCAGCTGAATGGCATGGGGTGGGGGAGGTGTTGGCGACCTGAGTCTGGGGTGTGGTTAGGCCACTGCTGCATACTCCTTACCTGTACTGGCTCTGTGTCCACTTCCTTTTTCCTCCAAGCCCCTTTCTGCCTCCTGAAACCTTTCTTCACTCTGTGCTTTTTTTTTTTTTCTTGGACCTGAGGCTGGTAGTTGGTTTTTCAAGACAAAGACAGGGTTTCTCTGTGTAGCCTTGGTGGCTGTCCTGGACTCTGTAGACCAGGCTGCCCTCTTAACTCAGATCCACCTGCCTCTGCCTCCCTGAGTGCTGGGATTACAGGCATGTCCCGCTGTGCCCAGCCCTCTCTTTACTTTTCCTGCTCTTTATTAATCAATCTAGTCCTGGACTAGATGGCGTAGCAGGTGAAGATGAAAGGAGAGAACTGACCGCTGCAAGTTGTCCACGGGCCTCCACATGTATGCCACGGCTCCACACTCACACAAGTAAGTCTTTCTAAACATCACATTCTCCTCTCAGAGCCGCAGAATGCTGAACTACCTGCCCCTGCTTGTGCCCCTTTTCCCAGGCGTGGGAAAGGCTGAAGAAGGTTCCCACTTATTACTGAGCTATATGGGTTCCTCATGGGGCTCTGGGTGCTTCACCTCTGACACTACCTAGGGCTCCAGGCAACCTGATTCCTCTCAATCCCATCTAAAGGGCCTGCCTCCTGCCCCCAGTCTCACAGAGGGACCATACAGAAAGTTCCTGGGTATAAGGGGCAGCTCTGCTGTGGAGGAAGCGATGCATTCCACATCCAGGCAGTGGCTGCTGTGCTTGACTACCCCCAAGAGGCCACGAGGATGCCTTTATCCAGCTCCTGGGAGTGGTAGAACTGGGCAGGACAGCAGGCAGCAGGATTTAACCCAGGAAAGCGTATGGAAGCCCAAATGTCCATTAAAGTGCATAGGAGAGAAGACAGTGGTGGTGTGGCTGAGGCTCTCCTACATTCCTCCCCTTTTTCCAGTAAGACTGAGGCTCCCGCATTCCCACAATACCCTTCACCCACTTTCTCTGTGTCCTTTCTCCCCAGGGGAGGGAAGGGAGATGTGTGCAGCAAGACCTTGGACTTTCATCCCGGCTCCTCCCCCCACCTCCCACACTGTTAAATTGAGGCAAAGGGTATAACAGGCGTATGCACTAAGCCAGGAGTCACTCAGGCCTGAGGCTTGGCTCTCTCACTTAATAGAGTAACCCTAGACAATTTCATTTTCTGAGCCTCCCTATCCACAAAATGGGACAGTGATAGTTATTATGCAGGGGGACTCAGTTCATGTTTCCAAGATCGCTGGGTACTGTAAAACATTCTACAAAGGAAAGGAATGATCAAGACCTCAAGGAAAGGCCTTCTCTGACATTGTAGAAGACAAGGAAGGGGCAGATGGGTTCTCTCCACCTTGTGGGCCAAACTTAGGTTGCTAGGCACTGAGCCATTTCACTGGACCCTGGGTATCTGGGTAATCCCATCAAGATCCCTTCCCTCCATCAAGGTGTTAGCTTTCACAAATACGGGGTAATGTAGACCCCTAGGGGCCATAAGTACCTTGGACCCACCTTCAGAGGAGAAGGAAGACATATCACCATCACCGCTGGACTCTATACCAGCCACACGTCCTCTCTTCCAGCTGGGCAACCTGCTTATATCTGAGAGAGTACAAAATGGCAGCAGTGACAGCAGCCACCTCCCATGCCATTCATTCACCAAACATTTCCTAAGAAACTCAGGGGCTTGGGCCCAGCTATGTCCTGGAAACGGGGATTTAAAAAGCAAGTCACCAGTGTCCTCCAGAGGGAGGGACAAAGGGAAAGGCAGAGTGTGCCTTTCACATGGCAGCAGTGTGATGAAAACGATGGAAGGGGCCAGGCAGCACCTGCCATGACTGTAGGGTTGAAGACTGTGGCGCACTTAGAGCTCCGGGAAACTGGGGTAATAAGGCAGGGAGACAGTGCCAGAACTTGTCCCAGGTGTGTGGAGCCTGCTCAGAGGGTGGGTGGCCCTGGGCAGACCACCTTTTTGGAGGGGTGGAACCCATGGCCTCAGGCATGCTAAACAAGTACTCTGCCACTGAGCTATACCACAGGGTTAGCTTTGTCCTTGTAGGAATTAGAGGAGTCCCCTCCTTAGAAAAGGAAGCTTTGGGGCTTAGCAGTTAAGAGTACTGACCGCTCTTCTGAAGGTCCCTGGTTCAATTCCTAGCACCCACCTGGCAGCTCACAACTGACTATAACACTAAGATCTGACACCCTCACACATACATGCAGGCAAAACACTAATGCACATAAAATAGATTTTTAAAAAGAAAAGGAAATTTAACTGTCATCCCAGCACCTAGAGGTAGAGTCACATGTTCAAGGTTACCCTAGGCTACATACCAGTTTGAGGACAGTCTGGGTCACATGAGAACCTTGTCTTAAAAAGCAGCATGTGTGGGAGGGTGGGATTGGAGGGGGGGTCAGTGAGAGAGGGCTACAGCTGGGATACAAAATAAACTAATTAATAAAAAAAAATAAAATTGTAAAAGTGGCACATGCCATTCAAGGCAGATCTCTGTGACTTGGAGGACAGCCAAGGCTACACAGAGAAACTGTCTCTTGGCGGGGTGGAGATTGATGGAGGAGTAGCAGGGCTGGTTCAAGTCCCAGCAACCACATGGTGGCTATGTTCATGGGATCTGATGCTTCTTCTGTCATGCAGATGTCATATACGTAAATAAATAACTCTTAAAAAAAAAAAAAAAGCTGGGTGGTGGTGGTGCATGCATTCAGTCCCAGCACTCGGGAGGCAGAGGCAGGTGGATCTCGGAGTTGAAGGCCTGCCTGATCTACAGAGTGAGTTCCAGGACAGCCAGGGCTACACACAGAAACCTGTCTCCAGGGAAAAAAAGACAAGAGAGCCTGGGGTCTTAAGCAGTCAGGCCGGTCAGCTCTTCTGTTGTCTGCAGCACACTGAGTACTTAAAATGCGTCAAAGGAGCCAGATTTGGTACCTCCCAGCACACAGGAAGCAGAGTCAAAGGAATCTCTGTAAATTCAAGGTCAGCCTGGTCTACATACCAAGCTGCAAGGTAGACTGCGCTACATTATGAGACCCTGTCTCAAAAATGAATAAAACATGATTCAGTGATGTTCCCTCTGCAGAGAATGTCAGTCACTCCCTCTGGCTGCCTTCCCCTGCATCTCCAGCCTGGGGAAATGGTGCTCTGTGTACTGAAAAGAATGTCACCTCCCTCTTTACTCTTTTTCTCCATGACGGGACAGGCTACAAACATTTTTTTTTTTTTAAGCGGGGCGGGGGAGTGGTGCTGGTTCAAGACAGTGTTTCTCTATGTAGCCTTGGCTGTGCTGGACTCTGGATTTGTAAATCAGGCTGGCCTCCAACTCACAAGAGATCTACCTGCCTCTGCCTCCCTGAGTGCTGGGATTAAAGGTGTGCCACTGTGCCAGGCTTTCTTTTTCTTTTTGTTAATGTTTATTTTTATGTGCATGGTTGTTTGGCCTGTATGAATGTCTGTATACCACATGTGTGCATTGTCTGTGGAGGCCAGAAGAAGGCATTAGAACTAGAGTTATAGAGAGTTCTGAGCTGTCATGTGGGCACTAAGGTCCTCTGGAAAACCAGCTGGTGTCCTACCCGCTGAGCTGTCTCTAGCCCCACTATGAACATTTTCAGATGGAACCTCCTTCAGACTTTCTACCACACGCTTATGCCCCTTTCCTTTCCAAGTCAAGTTTGTTCATTCACCAACCAACTCCTAGGCATTAATAAAGGGAGCTATAGCCCCACCTTCAGTGAGATCAGACTCACCTCTTTCCAATGGTCTGGTCCTTTATCAGAATTACTCTGGGCAAGGCTGCAGGCAACTTTCTCAGTAGCCAGCCACAGCCACAGCCTTTTCCTCTTAACTGTCAGCCAGTTACTCACTTGCAAACTGCTCCTTGGACTTCCATGAAAGCCTTTATTTTTGTTTTAAGACAGGGTCTTGGACGTACCCCTGGCTGTCCTAGAACTCACTATGTAGACCAGGTTGGCCTTGAACTCAGAGATCTACCTGTCTCTGCCTACCAAGTGTTGGGGTTGAAGGCATGCACCACCATGTCAGGCTTGCTCTCTTCAGTCTTTTTATGTTATATATTCTAGATACATGCATTGCTAGCCAAGTTTTCTTCTCCCACTCTTAGGCTATCTCTTGATTTTGTTTGCCACACAGAAGCTTTTTACGTCCATGAGATCCAGTTTGTCAATGGTTGTTCTCATTTACAGATGGACTTTTGTCCCCTTCAGAAAATCCTTACCTACACCTTACCCTTAACTCTGCTCCCTTATTCAAGCACATCCAGAATTTCTTATGTTAAGGTCTTTTATGAAGGTCTTTGATCCATTTGGAAATGGTTTTATGCAGGGTGAGAGGTCAAGATGGAGCTTCATTCTTCTACATGTGGCTATCCAGGGATTCCAGTGCCTTTTCAGAGAGGCTGTCTTGGAGAGGCTGCCTATTCTCTGATGTGTATTTGTGTCCAAAATTAGGTAGCTGTAGCTGCATGGGTTTATATTTGGTTATTATATTCTACTCCATTTATCTATGTGTATGTTTCTGAATGAGTCCTATGCTGTTTTGTTACTATGGCTTTGAAATGTAACTTGAAAACAGACATGGTGATACCTCTAGCAAATTTTTCTCAGGATTGCTTTAGCTGTTAAGGTTTTTTTGTAGAGAAATTTTAATTTAGAACATGGCTGCTCTGGTAAGAAATCACATCCAAAGACCTTCTAGGTCTGTGAGATCTGGCTGGAATACAAACAAACCTTTAATCCAGGAGACAGAGGCAAGCAGATCTGAGTTCAAGGCCAGCCTGATATAGAGCAAGTTCCAGGTAAAGAAAAGCTTAGAGGAGGAGTACATGCCTTTAACCCAAAACAGTGAAAGTAAAGTTAGGTTGTAGAAGGAAGCACCTGTGTTTGAAAGTGATGTGTAGTTGAGCAGCAGAAAAGATGACAAATCAGAGAAAGATTTGATGGAATAGGATATACCCAACTCTCACAAGAAGAGAGAAAAGGGAAGCTACTTAAGGGGCAATGGAGAGAGCAGACAGTTTTTACTGGGACAGTAATAGAGACAGGTTGCAGGAGGAGAACTCAGGTGAAGACTAAATGAGCTAGAGAATGAGGAGGAGCCAGGAGATTAAAGCAGATTGCTTGAGTTGGTTTGAGGCCAAACAGAGCAGTTCAGAGGCCAAGAGAAAAGCCAGATTGAATAAATTAGCTGGAAGAGAAATTTGAGCCAGAACAGCTGAGTTGAACCAGCCAGCCATAAAGAGCTCAGAAAGAACAAGAAAGGGTGAGCTTATTCAGCAGTAAGTCCAGAGGCTGAAAACACTGTAGGCCTCAGATTGCACAGAGGCTGGGAGCTTTTGGGACCGGGCCTGGGTCAGCAGACAGGGGCAGTAACCCTCAGAGGCAACTGAAGTTGTCGAATAAAAGTTCATTTTACAGTTTTTTTGTTCTTCCATATGAATTTTGTTCTATTTCTATGAAGAGTAGCACTGAAATTTTAATTTGGATCACATTGAATTTGTAACTGCTTTTGATAAGGTGGTCATTTTCATAGTATTAATTCTTCCAATCCATGAGTCTATGTTTGTGGGCTGCATGTGGACGTTAGAGGACACCCTGCAGGAATCTGCCCTCTCCTCCCACCATGTTGGTACTGGGGATCAAACTCCATCAGGCATGGTGGCAAGCACCTTTATGTGCTACTACTCATTTTGTAGCCAGCATTTCCTTCATCGACAGTATCAGCTCTGCTGCAAGTTTTCTGGTGGGGTCCTTCTTGTCTCTTATGCATAGGGTCATTTCTCCAAATAACGATACATATTTATGTCCCTTTTATTTCCTTCTTTTGTTTTATTGCTCTAGCTAAGACTTCAAGTGATGGCTCAGAGATTAAGAACACTCGTTGCTCTTCAAGAAGGCCCTGGTTCAATTTCCAGCATCCACATGGCAGCTTACAACTGTCTATAATCCCAGTTCCAGAAGTTCTCGCACCTTCACACAAACACACATACAAGCAACACATCAATGTACATAAAAATAAATAAATCTTAAAAAAAAAAAAAAAAGTGGAGCCCGGTGGTGGTGGTGGTGCACACTCTTAATCCCAGAACCCAGGAGGCAAGCAGATCTCCAGGAGTTCAAGGCCAGCCTGATCTACATAGTTAGTTCCAGGGATATGTAGAGAGATAAATCACACTCCTTTTTGTCTTATTCTTGGTCTTAGTGAAATGCTTTGAATTATTTCTCTGTCAGCATAATGATGGCTATAGATTGTTGTATAGATTGTCACTCCTTTCAGCTTGGAGTAGCTTTTGTCTGTCTTTTTAGGACAAATTCCACTTGTATGGCCCACCCCACCTGGCCCTGGCCTTTTTGTCTCTAATATTGCCCTTCTCATCTACTTTACCTCTTAAATTGGTGGTCACCTGCTCAAAAAACCTCCGCAAGCTTTGGAAAATACACGCATTTCCACAGTCTCAACATTTCATCAATGAAATGACATAAATCTGCTTACGTGTGGTGTTACACAGCTGTGATTCCAGCACTGGGGAGGTTGAGCCAAAGACGATCAAGAAGCTGGTAGTCAACCTGGGCTGCACAGGACAGTCAAGGCCAGCCTTGACTACATGGTGAAACCCCACCTCAAAGCAAACAGCAACAACAAAAACACAGAACGAAACAAAAGACAGTCTCATCCTGAGTCTAGCCTCTGCTGCTTTGCTGATGCTTTACAATGCTGGGACTGGACCACAGCCGTGCTGGATAAGCTGTCTGAACCACATGCTCAACTGCAGATTCACTTCCTGAGTATGTACAGCCAATAACATCCTCTGAACATTTCCCAATGTCTCCCTGTCTCTCTCTCGAGACAGAGTTCCTCTGTGTAGCCTTGGCTGTCTTGGACTTGCTTTGTAGACCAGGCTAGCCTCGAACTCACAGCAAGGCCAGCCTCTGACTCCCACATGCTGGGATTACAAGTGTGGGCCTGGCCCCTGTCTTTGGTTTTTCTTTCTTTTTTTTTTTTTTTTTTTTTAAAGATTTATTTATTTATTATGTGTACAATGTTCTGTCACCATGTACACATGCAGGCCAGAAGAGGGCACCAGATTATAGATGGTTGGGAGCCACCATGTGGTTGCTGGGAATTGAACTCAGGACCTCTGGAAGAGCAGCCAGTGCTCTTAACCTCTGAGTCAGCTCTCCAGCCCCTGTCTTTAGTTTTTCAGCACAGGGTTTCTCTGTGTAGTCCTGGCTGTCCTGAAACTCACTCTATAGGCCTCAAACTCAAAGATCTGCCTGCTTCTGCCTCCCGAGAGCTGGGATTAAAGGCCTTTGGCACCATCATCTGGCTTCTCCAAAGTATCTTAAATAAGTCCATGCACACCTGCCGTCCTCCTGCTGTCTGTGCGTGCTTTGTAGCCAGTCCTTTCCAGAAAGCAGCAGACATTCCAGCTGGAAATCAGGGGTCACCCTCTCCCACATCCATGCCATTTCTTGCCATATCTACCCCGGCACCTTCCTTTGTGTTGGGTTAGATCCCAGTTATCTTTTTGTTTGTTTGTTTGTTGCTTTTGAGTTAAGAGGCTCACTGTATAGCTCTGCTGGCCTGGACTGCTTGCCTTTGGCCCCTGAGTGCTGAAGTTAAAGGTTTGTGCTGTAATGCCAAGCTAAATCTCCATCCTCTCAGACCTAGGATGCAGCTATATCTTCCTGCCTGACCTCCCTGACTCTGGTTCTACCTTTCTTCAGTTCTTACCATACATTCAAGTTGAGTTTTGTAGAATCCAACTGGTCTTCTACACTTCTTTTCCTCCTGCCTGCCATGTGCTGGAATTACAGGCATGTGCCACCAGGCCTGGCTTATATCCTTCCTTCAGAATGAAGTGTGGACTTTATGCTGTTGTTGTTACTGTTATTATTATTATTTAGTGTTTTGAGGCAGGTTTTCTCTGTTTTCCTTGATTGTCTTGGACCCACTTTGTAGACCAAGTTGGCCTTGAACTCACAGAGATCCGCCTGCCTCTGCCTTCAAAGTGCCAGGACTAAAGGCCTGCTCTGCAGCCTTCAGGCTTACAACCCACACTTAGCTGGGTGTGGTGGGACCACAGGGGGATTCTTCTCATGGACAGTTCTTCTCGCCCCTCCTCTTGCCATTCTTTCTCTTCTGCTGCTCTCCTCCAAGCAGTACCTGCTCAGCACAGTGGGAAATTGCTGTTCTCACGACACACATTTGTAATCTCAAAACTTGGTAGGCAGAGGTAGGGGGACTAGCCTGGACTACACATAGCAAGACCCTAGACAAACACCAGTACTGTCCTAGTGGAATTGTATGCTTTATGTGCCTGCTGACCTGATGCCATAGTTCCAGAAGCTGTATTTACTCTGTAGTTCCTTAAGAATAATACCTGGGGCTGGAGACATGGCTTAGTGGTTAAGAATTCTGTCTGCTCTTCCAGAGGTCCTGAGTTCAATTCCCAGCAACCACATGGTGGCTCACAACCATCTATACCCTCTTCTGGCATGCAGATGTACACGCACATAGAGCATTCAAAATAAATAAAATATTTAAAAAAAAAAAAAAAAGAATACCTGTATTTCATTGCCTCTGGATGCACAGAGCCATGAAAATTGCTCAGTCATTGTTGGTTGGCTGTATATATCCAATGTCCTATTGGAATACATAAATCCCAGGTTCTGTGTTTCATCTGTTTATATACTTATTTTTGTGACCATTTCACATAGCCACAGGCTGCCCTGGAATTCCTCATGTAGCCCAGGATGGCCTTCAACTTATGGTCATTAGCCTGCCAAGTACTGGAATGACTGACATGAGCCACCCTGCTCAGTTTTGTTTATTTTGACTGGGGCTGGTTTTTTTTTTAATTTTTATTAATTACACTTTACTTTGTATCCCAGCTGTAGCCCTCTCCCCCATCACCTCCTAATCCCTCCTTCCCTCCCTCCTCTTCTCCTTTGCTCTTGACTGGGGCTGTCTGGGAATCAGATCCAGGGCTCATGCTGTAACTCCAGCCCTCAGTCCTCCTGAGAGCTTTTATGGGGGAGACAATCTCCCAGGATGTACACTTTCACAATGTAGACCCTACAGTGTGCTTTTAATGTATGACTTTGATTTTGATTCTAAATTGTATATCAAGGGCTGGGCATGGTGGTGCACGCCTTTAGTCCCAGCACTCAAGGAGGCAGAGACGAGGCGCTCAGCTCTCTGTGTGTCCCGGGACAGCTAGGGCTACACACAGAAATCCTGTCTCAAAAGAAAAAAAAAAAAGTCTGTATCAAGAGACCCAGACCCAGAGAGATGGAGCAACCTGCTCAGAATGAAAGTTGTTTTGTTTGTTTTTTGAGACATGGTCTTACTATGTAGACCTGGCAGGCCCAGAACTCAATAGTAGACCAGGCTACCCTTAACTTCACAGAGATCTGCCTGTCCCTGCTGCTAGAGTACTAGGGTTAAATATGTGGGCCACTGTGGCTGGCTGGCTCCCAGAATGAAAGACAATAGCAGACGCAGAACTAAAAGCCTGTGTGCTTTGCTGGCTAAGGAGTTACATAGAAGCTAAGGGTCACCCTATGTCATAAGCTCCAAAGCCAAGTCTTGAAACGAGATTCAGCTCCCTATTCAGTTGTAATGCCCCAAAACACTTGCTTTTAATCCCCAACATTGCTAAATTCCTCTCTTCTGACTTTCCTTAATCCTGATCCACAACCTCCCTATTCAGCTTGAATCCTAAAGGGTTGGAGCCTGTTCATTTTCCACTAATACCCCTGATAGATATTGACAGCATCAGCTGTTTAGGAGGGAAAGCAGAAAGGATCAAAGACGGCTGGATTTAGAAAGGCAGTCTGCCCCTTTGTCCACAGAGACAGAGGAGAGCAGCCAGAGAGAGGTCCAGAGCTCCCGCAGCAGAATGAGGACGGGTAAGTGCTTGAAAGGAAGGGAAACCGCCTGTCGTCTCTTCTTTGGAACAGGTAGCAGGGTGCTCATTTGTAGAGAGAGGATCCTTCTTGTTCTGCGAAACCCCTCCCCTCCTTTGAAGCCCAGAGGATGGGCACCTGAGCAGCAAAAAGGAGGTGTAAGGAGGGGAGAAGCGGGGAAACAAAGAGGAGGGTGCAAGAGAGGGGCAGTGAGTCCTTTCCTGGGAAATGTCTCCCTTCTTGGAGATGATTATGATGTCACTTGTGGAATCCTTAGACTTTCCCACCCTCAAGGTCAACGGAACTGATCGCCCATCCCCTGCCCACTGGATGAGCAAGGGGCCAGGGGTTCTAGCCGTGCCTAGTTGGTGTTTCTGGGGCAGCCGCCTAGGCCAGCGGCTGCAGCCTAAAGCTCAAAAGTTGCGCCTGGGCAGCGACTGCAGGCCAAGGCAGGCAATCTTCCAGAGCCCCGTCCAAGCCACGCCCCTCCTACTGCCCCGCCCCTTTACCGTTGCTCTGGTTCTCTTCCCAAATGTCAGTTTTGCAGCCAGTCTTTTCCTCAGTCCATCTTTTAATCGTTAGTGTCGTTCTGACCCACATCGCTGTCAGCCGAGTTCTTCCACAGGACTCTACCTCGCAGAGTTCACCGTTGCACCTCAGCTTGGTGGAGTCCTCGGCCCAGCTGTAAGCGCCAGTCCAGCCCCTAGCTCCGCCTCATGCTTGCCCCACCCCCCGCCCGCCAACCCCCTTCCTGCCTTCCAGCCCTGGCCTAAGTGAAGAACATCCGGGATCTTCAGCTCCTTCCAGGTCCCTTCGTCACATCCTTAACGCCGGTACCTGCTTTTGCCTTTACCTTACAGACCTAGCACTCAGTCCCACATCTAGCTCCTCACTGATCCCTGCTTCTAGAAACACCCTAGACCGAAGCTCCGCCCCCAGCAGGTACCAGCCCGGTCCCTTCGTCTCCAGAGCCGGCCCCACGGACAGCACCGCCTTGAGAGGTCCGCCCCTGACTGTTCCTTGAGCAGTCTTCATGAACGTGGCATCGCGGGTATCCTGGCCTCGGATCTCCTTAATGACATGATGGCTTTCCTCCACTGTGTATGGTACACCCTTCCAACCCGGAACCCCGGACCGCTAGACCCGGGGCTCCACCCTTCGGATTTCCTCCCAATCTCATAGGCCACTTGGTCCTAGGCCTCACACTGCTCATTTTTCCTGTCCAGAAATAAGGTGGCCTATATTCGTTCCAGTACAAACCCTTCGCATCCTCAAACACAGCACCCACACTTCACTTTTATATCACACACAGTAACGCCAAAAGTCTCCACAGAGACCTAATAGAAAAAGTTCAGGTTCATCTGCCCCTCCATGCAGCTCGCACCCAGGCTCCTGGGAACACCCCAGTACTGAAACTGAAGCAACCAGCTCTGTACAAGGAGGAACCCAGAGCTGTGGAAACAGAGATAGAAAATACTTCTAGGTATGTGTGCCTCAAAGGCAGAGGATTGGACAAGGCGTGGTGGTGCTTGTCTTTAGTCCAAGCGCTCAGGAGGCCAGCCTGGTCTTCATCATGAGCTCCAAGACAGCAAGGGGTATGTAAAATAAAAGGAAAAGAAGGAGGAGGAAGCGGAGGAGGAGGAAAAAAAGCAGGCAGAAAGGCAGCTGTGATGGCACATGCCTTTAATTGGGAGGCAGAGGCAGCCAGTCTCTTGAGTTCCTGGGGCTGACCATGAAAGCCTGTCTCAAAAAAGAATCAACATAAACCCCTCGTGCTAGGGGTGGATTACTTTCTTAGGAGCTGCTGGCCAGGGAAGCCTGTAGAGCAGAAAGCTATTCACCATTGCTGTCAGTGACATTCCAAAGCTGAGTGGCAAGACCCTGCAGATAACGATGTTACATGTATTGGTTCTAGCACTTGGAAAAATAAGTCTGGACTGAGCCAAAAGTGTCCATATCAGTGGCCTAGCTCCTGCAATACCAGGAAGTGCAAGAAAGGTTTCTGGGGAGAATCATGGCCAGTGACCTGTTCAGCTGTAGAATCTGTATGCTTCATGACGGAGAGGCCAGGCAAGTTGTGTCAGCTAGTGCAGTAGTGACACAGCCATTTTGAATAAAACAAACAGGGCCTCTCCCCAAAAGGAAAATTCACATTTAATATGTGCCTTAGACAAAAACCTGTGGCCAGAGAAGTCAAAGGCCCTGGTGAAAAGACAACAGCTGTTAGTCTGGTAAGCAAGCTGTTTCCCAGCATCCCACTTAGGACCATAGGTCACTTTCTGCCTTTTCCTCACTTGTATTTTATGCCAGAAGAAATACTGCCGAGACTAATACTGCCATCATCTCTGCTCTGAAAAAATGGGGATAAAAAGACATGAGTATCCCACTAGAGTTAGCCAACCATGGTCAGATTTCCATATACCCTCCTTCAAGGATCAGGGACCACTGTGAAAGGGGGGAGGGGCAGGAAGACTTTAAGAGCTTGAGGAGGGAAGAAGTGTTATGGAGCAATTTCCTCTGACATAAAACCTTCCATCTTAAGGCAGGCATGGTGGCACACGCCTTTAATCCCAGTACTCAGGAAATAGAGGCAGGCAGATCTCTGAGTTCCAGGCTAACCTGGTCTACAGAGCAAGTTCCAGGGCAGCCAGGGCTACACAGAGAAATTCTGTCTGGAAAAACCAAAAACCAAACCAAACCAAACCAAACTGAAAACCTTCCATCCTAGAGGGAAGCCCCTTAAAAGACACAGGATGTTTTACAGGGAGATAAAACACTCCATCCTTCAGGAAATCTCCTTAAGCTCATGAAATAAAAACTCAAAAGCTTCAAGAAGTTCCTGAAACTGAACAAATACACTATGTTCCTCCTTCCCCAAGCATATTTGAACAGTCAGGACTGCTTGAGAGACGTCCTCAGACAAGCTGTGGCTGGAAGAAAGCTCCTCCAACCTGTCCATCTGCAGGCTGGGTAGCACACTCCAGGTTCCCAACTGTCACTCATACTGGGGTGGCTTTTGGTGATGCAGCTGTATTTGAGCCATTACTCAGATACATAGTAATTTGGAGGTCAGGCTGACCTACAAGAGACCCTGCCTCAGGGAGGGAGGAGACAGAGAGCAAATGAAAACAAACAAAAACAAAACTAGGTAAGGAATAAAAAGGGTAGTTATTAAAATTTTAACCCAAAGAGGATGAAGAGGATGTAGTTAGTCTTCCAAAACCTGCTCTCTGAGATGTCAGCCAGTATGAGCCCTGTCTTAGGCACCAGAAATGGACAGAATTAACACAGGGGCTCCAGTCCCCAAATCACTATATGCCCCTCCTCATTCTGCATCTTTTATCCCCAGCGAAGGATTCCAATCTTCACTGAAAATGCTAACAACAGATTTTAATGCGTAAGGCACAGTATAAGGCTGGAACCATTAAGTACCCTCATACATAAAGGGCCCAGAAGGCTGAGCAGAAGCAGCAGGAACACTGCCCCCCACCAGCACCCTGGAGGGCCCCAGAGCAGCAGAGGGTCGGCCAGTCTTTGGCATGGTGCTTGTGGGCAGGAAGTGACTAGCACGGTTCCAGTTACCCTCTGGGGGCACTGACATCAATGGTACTCTTTGGTCTGGAAGAAGCCGTGCAAATGTCCAGGGGTTGCGTTCTGGAGCAGTTGGGGTGGCACAGTACCCCAGGAATGGGAACTCTCTGGAAAATCCTCACTCTTCAGGGACAACATGTGGCCTTTTTCTTGCTGGCAGTTAGGTAGAGGTTTTTGTCATCACTGTTGATGCCTGAAAGAGGGTGGGAAATAGATGAGTCGGGGATCAAGGGAATCAAGGGGATCAAGGTGAATACCATCCTTGCTCTCCACCACCAACCAGGTTGAGCACTTACGAACAACATCCCCAATGCGCCGAGCCCCCGATTTCTCCAGCTCAGCCAGGACATTGGCCTCAAAGGTCAATGCTGCCACACGGAAGAAGAATTCCCGGACATTCTCACCTGATGAGGGGAACAGAAATGGGTGCTGGGGGGGGCAGTATACCTACAGCACTGGACCCCGCTACAGATGGAGGAGAGAGGAGGGGTGGGCAAGCATGCACAGCAGAAGGCTGGAACCCCACCACTCACCAGTGAGTGAGGACACGGCCCAGTACTCAGCCTTGATCTCTTGGGCCACCTTGAGGGCGTCCTTCTCCATTAGGGAATACTGAGCTGGAGTCTGTGAGAAAATCGGAGTCAGACTGGGTGTGGGCCCTCTCACCGAGCTGGGGTGTTCCCCCAATGGCACACTCACACTCAGGTCCTTCTTGGAACCCACAAGGAAGAGAAGCACGCTGGAAGGATCATTCTCCTTGAGTGCATCGGCGAGCCACTGCCTGCCACAGATGGTGGACAGCAGTGAGGACTGAGTGAGCCAGACAGTCAGTCCCGTCCACCAGCTTTCCCATGGCCAGTTACCAGCTCTGGTTTTTGTCTACACCTCCCCCCCCCCCCCGCTACCTTCCACCTCCATTACTCCAGAAGATTGATCCCAATCCAGAGACAGCCCTCAGCTCCACTCTCTTCTGATGGATCACCTTTCTGAACCCTCCCTGGACCTTCCCATCGTATCCTGGCATCCTCACGTACTTGGTATGTTCCAGGGACGACACATCGTTCAGGTTGAAGACGATGATGATGGCTGAAAGAGTGAAACAGCAGTGGGTGACAGAAAGCCCACGCTCCTGCTTCGGCTCCCCCACCCACCAGCTCCACTTGGAAGCCCGGTGTGCTCTTAGACTGTACAGCAGGGCTGAGTCCCTAACCTTGAGCTCCTCGGTAGTAGGTGGAAGCGATGCATTTGAACCTCTCCTGCCCAGCAGTGTCCCAGCTGGAAGAAAGGAGAGGAGAACCCAGATAACAGGGTGTGCAGAATGGGGTGACAAGGCTAGCTTAGCTGGCAGGCGTGGAAGAGGCACTCACAGTTGGAGACTGAAGGGGACACCCAAAACTTCAAATCGTTCCATCTCAAAATCCACCCCGATGGTGGCCTTGTAATTCTTATCGAAGGTGTCCTTGCAGAACCTGAGGAGGCACACGGTCGCCTGAAGCACGAACGACCCTGCCAAGGCCGATCCTTGCCCAGCCAAGCTCCAGCGCCCTGTTACCTATTAATGAGACAGGTCTTCCCCACAGACAGGTCCCCCACAACGATGACCTTGGAGATCTTAAATCTGTTGGACAGAGGAGATGAACAGAGGGAGTGCTCACCACCTTTTCACCCTCGGGGGTTCTAATGCTCTTACCAGGTCTTAGTCGCACCTAAGCAGAAAGGCACATTACCATCGACAGCAGACCTCCCTGGAGCCTGCAAGGCTCTGCACGGATGTGCCAGCGCGCAGGGTTCAACATTAGGGACTTTCAGACTGACTTCTGTCTCCTCCTCTGGGGTGTGTGTTGGGGGTAGGGAGTGGGGGAGGTC